CTTAAAGGCTTTTGTACCTTCCTAATGTTTTGCCCAAGAATGAATTATCTAATGTTCAGGAGTTCTAAATTCCTACTAAAGCTTTTGGTGTATTCAAGGAATTTATATTACCTTGAATAAATATGAGCTTTCTGATAACTAATATGGTATGACTCTTGGATGAATGCTTTCCCACATTCTCTACACTGATAAGGCTTTTCACCTTTATGTGTTCTGTCACGTGAAGCCAGAGTTCAGAACTGAGAGAAAGCTTTCCCACACTGATTACATCCATAGGGTTTCTCACCTGTATGGCTTCTCAATAAGAGATGAGCTTTGAGAGAAGGCTTTTCTACATTCCTTATGAATATAAGGAATATCCATTATCACCTGTATGGATTCTCACATGTACAATAAGTGAGGTGATCTGACAGAAGAATTTTCCATATTTATTACATTTAAAGGGCTTCTCTCCAGTATGAAGTGTGTGATGTTCTATGAGGTACTGCTTCTGGGTAAAGGCTGTTCCACATTCATTACATTTAAAGGGCTTCTCTTCAATGTGAATTTTCTCATGTTTTGTGAGATTTGATTTGTTGATGAAGGTTTTCCCACATCATTTACATTTATGGCATTTTTCTCCCATATGTGTTTTCTGGTGTTTAATGAAGCTTGACTTCTGAATAAATGTTTTCTCACAGTCATTACATTCAAATAGTTTCTTTCTAGTATGAATTTCATGATGGGTAAGAAGGTTTTTCCTTTTGGCTGAATTATTTTCCACATTCCTTACATTTGTAGGATCTCTGTCCTACAATGAGTAATAATGAAGTACTTCTGCTGGCTGAAGCAGAGCATATTTCAGCTTCTGGTTGAAAGCTTTTCCACATTTATTACACTCAAAAGAGTTTTTGCCCTACATGGGTTTTTTCATGGTTAATGCTATTTGATTTGTGACTAAAAGCTTTCCCACATTTCTTACATGCACAATATATCTTTCCAATATGAATTTTCTGGTGTCTTGGGAAGTTTGACACCTGAATGAAAGCTTTTTCACAATCATAAGGTTTAAATTTACTCAAGTTCCATGAAGTTTTGCTTTTGGTAAAAGAATTTTCCAAATCTGTTACATTCATTGGATTTCTCCACAGCTAGAATTTTCTTATGCTCAATTAGTTTGAATAACTGGATGAAGGTTTTTTTCAATATTCTTTAGATGTAGGGTTCCTCTGCTGTAAAACAGGTATGCGACAACTGACAAAGTTCATAGGCTTTCTCTCCACTGTGCATTCTCAGGTATTTGATGAGATTTAATTCTGAATTCCTTTTTATATGAATTTCATTTAACAGGGCTATTATAAATAGGATGAGCTATAAACCTACTTATATTCATAGCACAGCTTCCTTCATAATATATTAATTCTGTAATATTTCTCTTTCCAAGTAAGTCACATTGATACAAGACTTATATTGTAGAAACAGTATGTGAATTTTAGAGTACATCTTTCCAATTTACTCATATTCACTACCTTTTTCTTTGGTCAGTATTTTCTTGGAGATAGATCCCTCTTGACCTATAAGTCTTTCAGTTGCCTCTCTGCTTTTTAACTTCCAAAATTTCTTCTAAAACAGGGTACAAAGAATAATCATTAAAAAGTTAATATGTGAAATTTGTTTAATCAGTTTAGCATATAGTAAATATGTGAAAATTATTACTATAATCATCATCTATTAAATTTTTCCACTATTATATTATTAATAAAGTTTCATTGGCAGGGTAGAATCTTTAGCTTCAGTTCAAACAAATCTACCAAAATGAAAGAAGTCTCAAGTGCTAACACCACTCTCCCCTAATTTTGAGATGGAAATTTACAGAGGAACTTTGCATAGAATAATAACATTTGACTAGTATGTATACCTTTGAGTGCTGTAAAAAATTTAATTTATTCTAATTACTTTATTCTTTCATGGTATTGGAGATTAAACCAATGGCCTCACACATGGTAGGTAGCAGTCTACCACTGAGCTGCATTCCCATTTTTTAAAATTTTTTTACTATTTATTTTTCAGTTTTCGGTGGACACAACATCTTTATTTTATTTTATGTGGTGCTGAGGATCGAACCCAGCGCTCCGTGCATGCCAGGCAAGCACGTTACCGCTTGAGTCACATCCCCAGCCCCCCCATCCCATTTTTTAAAAAAAATTTATTTTGAGTCCGGCTGATAAGCTGGCTCACATGGTTCACTATAAAAACCCTAACTATATATGTATCTCAACATAATATCTACATGTCATATGTTTTTATATAGAGAGAGCTATTATATTTATAGATAGATTATAATCACCTTTTTAGTACATAATTAATAAACATACTGCTACTAATCAACAGATATTTAGGGGAAACTATAATGTGAAAGGCAGATGAAAACCTCTAAAGAAATGGATATAATGTTAGGAACACACATTAAACCAAAACAAAACACTCACCAATAGCACATAAGTATTATAGCAAGGAAGCAGCAGATATGATAAAAACTGCTACTGGAAATGAAAAATAAGATACACATTTAAGAAAAAGATTTTTTTGGAGACAGGGTCTAGCTATGTTGTCCAGGTTGGTTTTGAATTCCTGGGCTCAAGCCATCCTCCTACCTCAGCCTCCTAAATAGCAGGGACTACAGGGACATGCTTGTAACTGGCTTACTTTAAAGTTAAGGCCTGTCTTGGTGTGCATGCCTATATACAAGCTACTTGGGAGGCTAAGGCAGGTGGATCACAAATTAGAGAACAGCCAGGGCAATTTAGTAAAACCCTAGCTTAAAAAAAAAAAGGCAGATATAGAAAAAAAAAGATAAAAAATGAGGAAACTAGCAGAGAAAATGAGGAATGTTAACATCCAGCTGAAAGGAGTTCCAGAAAAAAAGGGGAGGAAAGTGAATGGGAGAAAAATTCAGTGAACAATATGAGATTTCAAGAGAAATACAATTCATGATTCTTCAAAATAAAGGGGTCCACTGAGCACCCTATACAAAAAGGATTAAAAAGACCCACACCAAAACATACCTCTATTAAATTTTAGAAAAATAGGTCTGAAGTGATGATCCTACATGCTTCCAGGGAGAAAGAACAACAAAATATCCATCAAATTGTCATGGCAAGCTTGAAGACAATAATACAGAATTCTCTCAAAATTCTAATGGAAAACTCTATCTAACCTAAAATTCCAAATCTAGATAAACAATCATCCAAAGAGTTAGAATAAAGACATTTCAGACTTGTAAAGGTTCCAAAATTTTACCTCAAATTAACCTATCTTTTGTGATTTTTTTTTGTGATGTTAGGGGTTGAACCCAGGGCCTGATGAAAGTTAGGCAAGTGCTCTACCATTGAGTCAATTTCCGACTTTCTAAATTAACATATCTTAAGGTGCTACAGGAGGATTCCCCCCCCCCACTCCCCCCAAAAAACTAAACAAAGGGGAAAAAAGCTACAGAAACCAATGACCCAAGAAAAGAAATAGTTAAAGGAAATTCCCAAGATGATCAGGTGCCAGTTATGTATTTATCATCTTTCAGTCCCTCTAGAACTTACTTTATGTGAGAACTCTGTAATGCTAGGACTGGGAGTCTACAAACATCATTTCTCAGGCTCTTTATTTATTTACTGATGAACTTAACATACTCATTTATTAACTCCATAGTGGAGAAGTCTCACAGAAGCCTTACTTTAAGAAGTATTAGGGGGGGGGCGCGAAAAAAAAAAAAAGAAATATTAACATCACTAGTAATGGAACACATTGATATGTGTCTCCTGAGAGGAAAAAGAACATCACTTATGTGATGTTTCTCCTAAAAATGTATAAACCCAAGTTGAAGAACATTATACAAAAGAAATATACAAGATGAACATTATACAAAATGAATATACTTTGGACATTTCAGAATCATGAACAGGTGAAGCCCAGAGTGGTGGCTCAGGCCTGTAATCCCTGCTACTAGGGAGGCTGAGGCAGGAGAATGGCAAGTTCAAGACTAGCCTCAGCAACTTGGCCAGACCCTAAGCAACTTAGCAAGACTCTGTATCAAAATAAAAGCTCTAAAGGACTGGAGATGTAGTTCAGTGGTAAAGAAAACACTAAGGTGGTATATTTAAACCTATATAATTTAAGTAATTCAGTGACACAAAGAAGACTATGTGCCTGTACTTGGGGTCTTTAACAAGACAAAATCAAGCATCTCATGACATTCTGAAGTCTTATGTCTTGCTTTAAAAGGTATGTTGCTTTTGCATTCTAATCCATAATAAATATGCCTATTTTAACATTAAAGTCAGTTTATGTACTTTATCAGATAACAGTTATTTTTTTTTCCTTTTTATTATCAATGTACAAATGCCTAACTTGAGGTAGATTTTTATCTGATGTAAAGATACAATCCCGGTGTCAGAAACAGACGACCCACATTCACACCCAGTCACACACAATCAACGTCTTCGGACTCTCCTCAACCCTGCCCTGCTTCTCACCTGAGTGCGTACGTATGTGTACACACACACAACACACACACACCCAAAACCTTGAATCCTGCGCAGTCGCTTCCTCAACCCTATCAGGACGGGTCTGTCAAGTCTCAGTTCACCCTGACCCTCCGCGCTGGGCAAACCGAGGTCTGGACTCAAGGACCGACGAAGAGAAACCCGTCGGGCCGGCTTTCGACCCCTTCTGCATTCTGCGGGCGAGCCGGCACCTCCGGACGTCTCTTCGGGCGCTGCCAGTGAGGTTACCTAGCCCTAGAGTAGGCTCCGGGCGCAGAGGGATCCCGCGACTCTCCTTCCCGCTGCGCTGGCTGCGTCTGAGGCCGGGGACTACAAGTCCCAGAGGCCCTGAGGCTCGGAGCTGCTTCCGCCGCGAGTCGGTGTTGGTCGTCCTGAGGTCGTTGGACCGTCACCGCGCTGCGGGACGAGGAGCTCCGGTGCGCGCGGGTGGGCGGGCGCGCGCTCCGGCTCTGATTCACTTGGCGCCGGGGCCCCGCGGTTTTGTTTGGTGCGGAGACGCGGTAAAAGAGAGCAAGCCCAGCTTCCGTCCTGAGAGGACTAGGGAGGCCTGCGGTAGGGCTCTGGACTACATTTCCCAGAGGCGCCCAAGTCGACAACAGGTACGGCAGGGGTTCAGGCTCCTCTTCGAGGCTTGGCGGAAGCGTTGTCTCTGCTGTCAGCTGTTGAACGGCGTTTGGAATCCAGTGAACTTGGCCAGTTTGTACGAGACCGGAACTAGGGAAAGCCTAGGGTGAGGAGTCTGGCTCGGGTCCCTTCGCGTTTGGAGCGAGCTGAAGAGAGGAGAAAGAGAGGAGAGATTATGATTGTTACTGTGTCTTTCTGGTGTGTAATTGGGACTTTGTGTGGTGAAGATTCCGGGTTCCCAGAATGGGTATGTGATTGTGACTGCCTGAATGAGTTGCATTGTGCACGGGAATGTGCTGAGCTGGTGACTCTGTGGTTGGAACTGTGTAATTTTGTGTCTGTTTTCAACACCATGTGTGCAGGTGTTGGAAGGTCTGAGACTTTGGTGGGGTCCAAGTGAATGGGGTCAGTAGGTGGAGTCAAGATGCTATCCTTTAACAAGTTGGTTACCAGGAGGTGATTGTATAAAGCTTATAATCTGGATCTCTAATATTCACGAACTGGAAGGAAGTGGAGAACTAGTCAAGGTGACTTAGCCCGTCTTTTGGGTAATAGAAAGTTACATCTATGTTTAAAATGAATGGTGATGGAACAAAAAATGATAATAATTAACTACAACAAATTTAAAAAGTATTATATAACATGGACTAAAAATATAGAGAATGCAAGATTGGAACTTCATCCAAAGAAGGAGCCAGAAACAAATATCTAGCAATGTGAATGTCCAAAGTACTTTTAAAAATAGGAGTGTTTTGTTTTCATGTTAAATTGCAGAGATGTGGTATTATTAGACTCTCGATTACTTGAGAGGAATTATACTAACAAAAAAACGTAGGAAATAGTCTTCAGTAAATACAGGAAAAGTAAAATTAAAAGCCTGTGGTAACCTGGGCTTACTGCCTTTCCAGACTCTTTCTATCTGTATTTTTTTCACAGACATCATATATTATTGCATCTAATTAATTGTCATTTGAAGTTTAGTATGTTGAATCCTGCCTAACAATTCTGGTATTTGCTGTCCACCTGCTCTGTTTGATCACCTTATCTTTCCTCTCTGTAACTACTTATGGTTTATTTTCTTGTTTGCAGGATTTTGATGAACTATTCTAAAATTTCTTACTAAGAGCAAGGGTGGGGGGAAGCTCCAGAGAGTGAGGAGAAAAGTGATGTGCCTGTGCATAAATGAATAAGGGAAAGCTGGAAAGGGGAACTTGGAGGTGGGAAGCCTTTGTGTAAAAACTCAGTTACTCCATGTCGAGGCCACAGTCATCTCTCACAGGTTGTTCCAATAGCCCCCTTACTCATCCCCCATGTTCCTTCATTGCACCACTAAAGTTTCTTCTTAGGGGTTGGGAGTGTGACTCAGTGTAGAACACTTACCTGGCATGTGTGATGTTCTGGGTTCTGTCCCCAGCACTGCAGGGGCTGGGTGGGGGAGTTTCTTAATACAGCAGCCAGCCTAATCCTTCCAAAATAAATTAGTTTATGTCACTCCTTAAAACTTTCTGTGGCTTCCCTTCACACTCAGAACGAAAACCAATCTCCACAGTGGTCTGTCTCTGTTACTGCTCTGATCTCATTTAGCATTTTTTTCTTAATTCTGCCTCTCTGCATTTGAGATAGCTGGTTCCCTTGCATGGAATTTTCTCACTCCTGATATCTACATGACTTAATCTTTTGCTTCCTTCAAGGCTTTCCTCACATGTTACTAAACTGGAAAATCCTTCCCTCTGAACATCTCAACAAGTGCACAGTTCCTATCCCCTTGCCCTATTTTATTTTTCTTCAAAGTTCTTATCCTCAATTTACCTATTTATATGTTTCCTCCAATCTACACCAAAATTGAAATTTTATTTCAATGGTAATCCACTATGGTCCTTGATGGATAGGAAATTTGGCTATGTTCATTTTATCAGTGGCATGACAGGCTAGGCCTGGCTATGTTAACAATGAGCAAATATCAATATTTTAAGACAGAAAGTTTTTCTTTCACATTACATATCTGTCATGGAGCTTTGTATTTGTCTTCCTCTCTAGTTGTGTAGCTAGATATTCAAAGCCTTGGAGTCTTTGGTTATGGATTAGGTGGTCCCTTCTTAATTTAATTGTTTGAAATAAGAGACTGGAGAAGTCAAGAGATTTCATGTCTTGAACTTGGTGCATGCATCTGGATGCCTGTGTATAGATTCTGGATGTGTACAGGCATTCTAGCTTGAGGTCTTTGTTTTTAATTTAGGTTGTAGCTGGAGAAATGCTGCTTTAGGAAATTCTTGGCATACTTGCAAAGGGAGAATTCTATGGGGTCATGTTATTGTACCCACCTGCATTCCAGATTAACATTTTGAGATTAGGTTAACAATCTGCCTGAATTCCTCCTGCAAAGGTTTCTGGGCCCCTCTCAGCATTGGAGCTAATCTACTCAGAATCCACTCCATCTTGCTCTTCTTAAGTTCCCACATACTTAGGGAAACCTGGGATTTTTTCCCGTGTGTGTTGTGTGTGTATGTGTGTGTGTGTGTGTGTTGGAGGAAGGAAAAGTAGGGGTAGACAACATAGTAAGGATATTGGAAGGAGAGTGTAGAATTATTTGGGTATCTCTGGGAGCTTTTAAAATTTTCCTCTTTCCCCCACAGTTGCTTTTTGAGGATGCTATACTTTTACAGGAGAGGAATCTAGGGAAACATAATTCAGGTTCTGAGGTATGTGTTAAAAGCTATACTCCAGGTGAACTGATATATCTTCCTTGAAATATAGTGGGATTTCCCCCCCCCTTATTTGCATGAACATTTGTTTTCTTTATCTAGAAACTTCTTGCTCAACTTGCCTATGAAACCATCCCAGATCTTCTCATTCTGTCAGGGAATGAATGATTGTGCCCAGCAGCACGGTCTTGCCCCCTATTCTCCCACTCTTTGACAGTGTTTCAGTGTGTGCAGTGCTTCATGATGCAGCCTAAATGCATTCCCTTCAGGAAAATAGTTGAGCCTCCCAGTTTAGCCTTGGGGTTTAATTAATTAGTAATGATTTAATGATTGTTGATTGGGGTAAGTACTCTCCACAAACATGTTTATTTTCTTAATTTTTTTTGAAATTTAAAGAAAAAATTTATTGAAGATTTGAAAAACAATTCCTAAAAGATTTGACTTTTCCAGAAAACTGTAGCTACACAATGCATTGCATCTATCATGTTAAAACGTGCATAAGACACAAATACAAAAACCATGAAACAAGCCACCATTCTTCAACAATTTGAGCAAAGATATAATGCCTAAGGAACAACATGGATGACTTGCGAAGGATGGGCTCTTTACTTTAAGCACCATTAAAAAAAAAAAGGAGCACAAATGGATGAGTGTGTTCAGTTATATACACTGAATTGAACCTTTGGCACTAGGAATCAGAGCATTTTGTCATATAGCATTAACACATATTATAAAAGTGCGTAGTGTCAAAAGAATAGAACCACCAGCATTCAAAAGCAGCTTTGTCAACTAGGCAAACACTCTACAGCATGTCTCTCTGTTGTCCATCATTGAATACACTGGTAGCAACTTTGAAATGAAATTAAAAGAAAGAAAGAAAAAAAGGAGCAGTAACCCCTTTTATTTTCTCTGTTTAAATTCAAACAGAAAACAAACATCAATTTTGTTATATACTAACATCTTCAAAGTACATCATTCGTACAAGAGAAGGACTAAGAACAAAAATGTGTTTACAGAGATCCAAACACAAGTGAATGAAGTACACCTCCTCACACTGCTTTCC